TTTTTTTAACACAATTTTCAATGTATAAAATTTTGCTCCCACACTCTTTGAAAATGAAAAAATTTTTCTAAATTAACTTTTTTAATCTAAAAGTTATTTAACAATTTTTCTACCAACACTTTGTATATTAATCCTTATCAAATATAAGAACCCTCAGAGACGTGTGGAAAAACAGCTCTGAGCTGAGCAAGAGCCCTCCTTTAACACTTTACCAACCAAACGAAAGCGTGTTTGGCCGCTCCAGTCCTAACTCAACAAGCCATGCGCGTGTATCCTCTCACCACCTTGATTCAGTTCACACCATAACCGTATTTTCAAAAATCAGAAGTAAAAGTCAAAATAAAATTTGAACCAGAAGGCCCAACACAATGGACCCCGCCAAACGTCCCTCGTTTTAGATGATGGGAGATGATTTTTTATATTTCATTTTTATATTTTTTTAATTTAATATATCATTAAAATAATTAATTTTTTTAATTTATATGAGATTCGTAACATTAAATATATTTACTCATTTAATAACATATAAAAATTATATAAAAAATAATATAAAAAATTATCTCTATAACACCACTCTTAAATTATTATTAAAATAATTTTATTAACTAACAATAACAACAATCCCATTAACTAACAATAACAACAATCCCATTAAAAATTATAATTATGGATTATTTTAATATTTAAATTATATATTTATAATATTTTATCTGATATTAATAATTATTTGTTTGGTTGTAATTATTGCATCCGATGGTCAGAAAAAAAATCATCCCAAAAAGTGGAGTGTAATAAATGACATATAACGGGTAAACTTTTCAGTATTCTCTCATTACTATTTTCAAAAAAAAAAAAAATTCTCTCATTACTAATTTACCATGTTCTGATCTCTATATAATTATTTGTATGGTCATAATTATTGCACCCGATGGCGAGAAAAAAAAACTCAACCCAAAAAGTCAAGAGTAATAAACAACATCCAATCAATAAACTTTTCAATGTTCTCATCATGAATTTACCATGTTCTGATCTCTGTAAAATGTAGCTTATATCAATCAATGATATTTCATGCACAAAGCACTCTTGCTTTTCTTTCCTCCTTGCTCGTACTCTCTTCTTTCTTTCTAGCAAGGAAAGGGGAATACAGAAGAGGACGTGAATTAATGGAATTCCTTATTGAAGATCCTTTTTCCAGTGACTAAGAATCTCAAGATGAATGTCAAGATGATCCGACACAAAATATGACCGCCGCTCCTCAAGCTGATTTTTCAGGGGCAGAATTCCTAAGCCCACAAGTGTTTTACCAGCCACAGCCAGTGGTGGAAATGGTTGCAGGAGATTTGCAGTTCCAACAGCCACCACCACAACAACCACTACAGACACAGCCAGTACTAGTGGAGGTAACGGTTGCAGGAGATCCACAGTT